GTGTGCTTCTACCCCTAGCTTTAATCTTTTGAAAGAAGTACTTTGTCATACACTCTCCCTCTTCCCACTCTTTTATTCCAGCTCTCATCTGCAACCCTCTTGCCTTCCAACGCTCCCAGTCTCCTAGTTCTTTTCTTGCTGATTCCATGATCTTTTCGTACATTTCCATACTAGGATTGCAGATTATGTTCCTTTCCGCTATGCGAAGAGCCTGTCGCAATTCCTTCTCCCTGGCTTTTCTTCTAGCCGCTAGCTGTCTAGACACCGCTGCCGTAGCCCCTGATAGGGCCGTTATTAAATCTGGAAAGGACTGCGTCTCACTATCATGAGCCAGACACACCCTCAGGATAGCCTCCCTCAACTCCGGTGTTTTCAGCAGTGAGTTATTCACCTAATAGAAGCTTCTACCTCTCTGGGAGGACTTATTCAGGGTCAGGTCCATGGAGATGGGCTTGTGGTCTAAGCAACTGCAGTGTGGCAGATCTCCTATTCTCACCGACTGCAACGCTCCTATTAGCCCCTCGGAAATAAGGAAGAAATCTATCCGTGAGGCTGATATATGTTGACTGCGATTCCTTTTGACGTATGTGAACCGTTTCTGGTCCGGCCAGTGTAATCGAAACGGATCCACTAGGGACCAAGCAGTCATGAGGTCGTGAATTGCCAATGCYTCGTCCCCCAACGTTTCATCTCCCGATCCCAAGTTGCCTCCCATCAATCTGTCCTTGCTTGGTTCCAATGTGGTGTTCCAATCCCCCACCATTATGTTATGTCTTGTAATCTCTATGTGTGACTGGAGCAGCTGAAGCATTTCTGATCTGTCGTGACGTGAGTTGGGGCAGTAGACTGTGAATAGGGTAAACTGCTCCTCTTGGTACAAGAAGTTGAGTTTTATCCAACGTCCCTCCCCCTCGTCCACCAAGGCCTCGTGAAGAGTTATCTTATTTGCAGTAGCTGCTCTTTTGTTTTGCAAGATCACTACCCCTGCCGAATGTGACCTCACCGCCCAGGCCCAGTAACTCGCCTTCACCCATCTTAGCTGCGTTAATATCTTCTGCTGCAGGCTTTGGTGATGCGGGGCGTTGGTTAAGTGAGTTTCCTGTATGCAAAGAAAATCTGGTGGGTTTCTTCCAAATCATTCCGTAGCTTCCAATACATTGTTCCATTTATCCTTGTTTTCCAGAATCTGCGCCATGCCATTAACATTCCACGACACTACCCTAATCTCTGCACTGTCTTTCTGGTCGAAGCTGCGTTCAAAATTCTTAGCTGGTCTTCCATTCAGCTGGTAGCCACTGCCTTCTGGAGTCTTCCAGCTTTTCGCCCTTGCCCTGTTGGGTCCCAGATAGCCTTGGGCGAAAAGGTCCAACCCTTGGCCTTGCCGGGTGTTCTTATACCCCTTTACCTCTGTGTGCGGGGCCTACCATTCCTCTGATTTCTGCTGCAAGGACCTTCCTTGGGTCCCTGCTATTTCCTTGGGCCTACCATACCTCTGTGTCTGTGCAATCTGGGTATCTCATGATCAAATCATAATGTTCTACACCTACCCCAACACCCCTCATAGGCTCATTTCTCCCTCTTCTAGTCTAGTAATAATGCAACCATCGCAACTCCAAGGTACGAGTTCCAGCATCTAGAACCCCCTCCATCCTTCAGATATCTGGAGGGTGGGGGGGGGGGTGGTTCTAGGAGGGGGTTCTAGGGGTTCTAGAACCCCCCTCCTAGAACCCTTCTGCTTTCTTATCACATTTTATGTCCTTACAACCCTTTTCCATCATTTACAACATGCCCTCCCTCCAATCCCTCTAAATATCTATCCCCCCCTCCTGAAAATGCTCTTCTTTTTTTTACCCCGCTCCTGAAACCATCTGTAGTCCTGAACATAACCCATCAAACCTGGGGCAAGGTCCCACTACCAAAGAGGATTGGTTTGGACGCATGAATGTGGTCTTGTTTGTGGAGAGGGTGCAGAAAATCAGGATTGATCTGCTTTTCTGTATCTCCCCTAGAAGACGTCCACTTTCAGGCGCTTGATACGATTCTCTTTGCTAGTGGGACCTGACCCCTGGCATTTACGCTGACCCTGGCCTATCTCTAGGTGGCGGGCGCCAAGCTTGCCCAGGAAGGTACATGAGGCCAATGGGATATGGGGCCCCGCTCCACTACACGACATTCTACATGCATTTGGACCTTTTCTGGACCCGATACATTGAAAATGTTGTACTCGTCCCAATGCACCTGGTCCAGAAAGCGTCCAAATGCGTGTGGAGTGTTGTGCAGTGGTGCAACGCCCAGGATCAAATTCCTCTTTCCTTATGAAACATGAGAAAAAAAAGAGCAAAAAGATAAAAACTTACTTGGGCGTGTAAAATTCAAAATTGTAAATTACTAAATTAATAAATATTAAATTGTCCTTTTTTTTTTTTTTCCCCTCTCAATCTTCTCCTTTTCTTCTCCTCCTTTTCCTATCCTTTGTTTTTCTTTCTCAAACTGGATACTTTGATACAATTTTTTTTTTTATATTCTCAAACTTGATACATTTTTTTTTATATACAGGTCTGATGTTGAAAGTACGTACCTTCCGCGAACTGCCGTTTGAGCATCTTAAGCACTGAGAGCACTGCTGCACGCGCCTCTGCCTGCATGAAGTAGGCGTCAGATCAAAATGTCAGAAACTGTTGGATTCACGACTTTGTCAGACGCTGAAGTTAATACACACACTCGGATGTTTCAGGACGTAATTGCAGTCAGATACATCCAGGTCTAGCCGTAATTGCAGTCGGATACATCCAGGTCTAGCCGTAATTGCAGTCAGATACATCCAGCGAGGTCGTAACGTGAGACTGCCATGAGTATGACACAAGAGAGTTGTTGGATCATGCTTGGAACTGACATTGCAGATCACAAAAAAAAAAAAAAAAAAAAAAAAAAAAAAAAAAAAAAAAAAAAAAAAAAAAAAAAAAAAAACATTGCAGATCATGCATTCCGTGACTTTGGGCCTCTCCACTGCACAAGGTTCTACATGTAGAAAAATTCAAATGGGGCGCAGAGGACCGGTAGCGCTGCGCTACCAGGCGTACTCGCTGTCTGGAGACGGCAGCGAGGTGTGGGATTCGGGGCGTGGGGCGCAATGATGTCTTCTTCGTCGATCCCCAGGTTCGGCCATCGCCCTGAGCTCCGACAACGGGCTGTGTCTCCCTGTGGAATACCAGGGAGCAGGGCGATTCCGGTTCCTACATAATCTACAAGAGTCAAGTAACAAGTGCAGTGTGAACACGACGAAGGGAGAGAGAGTCAAGTATGGGACAGCGGGCACATCCAACAGCGGCACCTCTGGAGGTAGTGGGTGGGAAGCCGGTGGTGGTGGGACTGGTGTTGGGAGGAGCACGTGAGAACGGCTGTTGACTATCTCGACTGGGAGCGTGACGACCTGAAGCTCGACGGGCGGCGGCGCCACCGATGGGAGTGGGAGTTCCTCTGGTGGTGGTGGGAGCGTCTCCGTTGGGATCAAGGGCGCTGAGCATTAACCAAGCCACTCTCTAGCACAAAATATTCTGAGTGCAATAACCTAGCCACAATTTTTGCTAAATACTCCTTATGACTGGCTTATTTCATGACGGTCGTACACGATAATATTTGGAATTAATTCCCCCTCTTTCAAGCACTTCCTGCTATGTGCTTTGGTGTTACTGGCAACCTTGATGGTATTTACTATTTAGTCATTAGTATTCCGTATCTGGGTGTATGTTTGGTTTTGTGCATTCTCTCTTTGTTATCTCTAATACCTTAAAGCAAAAGGCGGGTCTCGCGTGACGGGCCCACGCGAGACACCGCAGCTGGTGGGAGGGTCCCGGATGTGAGAGAGCCGCCCACGCGAGAGTGCCGGATGGGTTTCGTGCCGCGGTGTGCGCCGGGTCCCGTCTTTACCCGAGCGGCGCACTGATTTGGAGGAGCCGGTCGGCGGGCGGTCCGGGGGCGCATGGGACAGGGGGTGCACGGGGACGCAGGGCAAGGGCGGGTGCATGCGGGCCGCGGCGCCTGTCGGGGGCTGTGCGGCGACGCGTTGTGTGACGGGACGCGGGCAGCGGGAGCATTGTGATCGATGGCATGCAGGCAACATGCATGCGTCGTCTGGCAGTGAGAGAGCATGCGTCGTCTGGCAGTGAGAGCTTCTTTGTGTCGTCACAGGGGAAGCGGACGTGGCAGGCGTGGAGCATGGAGGGGGAGGAAAACGGAACCGTGCGTACTTGAAGTCGTCGGGGAAATGGGGAAGCAATGTTGAGAGCGGAAGTCGTGGAATGTGTGTGAGATTGGGAGTGGTGCGCGCATCTCCCATATAGATACTGTACGTGGGCGGGGAGATTGGCAAGTGATGCTGAGACCGGAAGTCCGCGACTGTGTGTGAGACTGGCAGCGGTGCGTGCATGTGTGATTGAGAGAGCCGGAAAACGTGAGAGAGGCGAAGAACACATCCTCTGTGATATTATCAAGATGGCAAATCAAGGTTAGTCATTGTATCGATGGAATGCGTGTGTATCATTTATCGTGTCTCTCTCTCTCTCTCTCTCTCTCTCTCTCTCTCTCTCTCTCTCTCTCTCTCTCTCTCTCTCTCTCTCTCTCTCTCTCTCTCTCTC